TCTCTCATATATAGAAGAACCATGAGTTATTGCTTTCCTGCACCAATCTGGAAAAAAAAATATTGAGATTCCGTCTCAACTCAGTGATGAAATCCTGATTTCAGTACAATTGTTTTTTTTCTCTCTCTCTCTGTCTCCCTTAGGAAAAACAAAGCACTTTCTTGTGCTGTTTTATCCGGTCCCATCGTCAAGTGAAGAAAAGAGATACTGAGAAAGAGGGAAAAGCGATCAAGCCAGGCGATTAAGTGCTGCTTCGAAACACTTTCATTTTATTTTCTCGTTTATTCACCTGCCCCCCCTGGGAAACCATTTTTATTGACACGATAAATCTGTCTGAGAGAGAGAGAGTGTAGAAAAGAAATCACGTAGATGAGAAAGCCGGAATTACCTCAGGAAAAGTTGAGAGTTTCGAATGAAACGCAGTGGGAAGATGAGAAAGGCTGTGCTATTTCAACCAATACTTGGTCCATAGCAAAAATGTTTTATGGTTTTTTTTTCTCTCTTTCGTTTTAGTTGAAATGAGGATTTGGTTGAGCAAGCGGAAGAAAGGTAGTAAAAGAAGATGATTGAGAGTCTGTATGCATCACTGTATGATAGTCTCGGTTTGGTTGCAAATCATTGGAAGCCATGATGATTTCAGATTTCTTTCTGGCAGCTGATCATGGCTGAAAATTTGCATTGAAGTATAATCTCTGAGATTTTATATTTGCAATAGCCTTTAACAGTGCACTGAAGATGAGCAAATATTTATTCAGCATATTGAAAAAAAAAGATTAAATGGGACAGAAATCCTGGAATTAATTTATGAAATGAACATGAAAAATTTGTGGGACAATAAATGTGACCTCACTAAAAGTTATCCACAAGTCAGAATCCTCAATATTTCAAAATTTTGCATAGTTCCTGTTTGAATTCTTTTATATACAATATAATGTAGACTTGCATAACTCAAAGACTCTCCCCCTCAAATTTCCATATGGTAAAATTGAAATTTCTAGAAGCCTTTTGGATTATTGATCTGCAGATCAAGGAAATGGAAGGGCAACAGAAATTAAACTTGATACCTTTATGGCAATTAAAAAGAAGTGAGCAAGTAATTTGGCACATGTGCCTTGCTTCAAAGTTCTATGCATAATATCATTCTCATTTATCCATTACATTGAGGGACAAAAGATAGCCAATTTTGCCTTCCTCAAATGATTCCAAGAATTTTTCTGGCAACACATTCTTGCTTCTTTAACTCAGAAGCTTCTGGACCCTAATTTGGATGGGTCTCTGATTTTGATGGGGGGGGGGGGGGGGGGTTGTGAGTTTCAAATTTTGAAACGATAAGTCCTTCCCTATACAAGAGTTTCTTGTTGTATCAAGAGTAGGAAAAAAATTGGGCAAGCATCTGAATGGCACCTTGCTGAATTAGCACTAACCTCCTTCTGAAAATGAATGCATTCTCATGAGCCTGGGTTTTGTTCCCAGGCTCCACAAGGACAAGTAAAAATAGGTTTTATTTATGGTCAATCATTGACATCAAGAAATAATCCTTAGGAGTCAATTTGTTCTCTGTCCATCTTTTTCTCTACACATTCTGCCTTGTAAGGTTGATTTGAGCTGATTTCCAGAGAGAGCAAGCAATTTGCATACGTTTCTGCAAGTGTTGTCTCAATTTGTCCATTTTCAAATCTGGCCCAACAAATTTAATCATTGACACACTATTTCTTTTCTTGCACAATACAACAACCTCATACTGGGATGCAAGTCCCAGTCACAGCCTGGCTGATTAATTTGTGAATTCATTTCTCTCTTCTGAATTTTCAACTTTTCAATCTTTTGCTTATATTCATGCAAATCTTTTTCTGATTTCAACTTAAACCTTATAGAGAGAGAAAAAAAACAATTGTACTGAAATCAGGATTTCATCACTGAGTTGAGAAGGAATCTCAATATTTTTTTTTCCAGATTGGTGCAGGAAAGCAATAAATCATGGTTCTTCTATATATGAGAGTTTCTTGTTGTATCAAGTGTAGGAAAAAGATTGGGCAAGCATCTGAATGGCACCTTGCTGAATTAGCACTAATCTCCTTCTGAAAATGAATGCATTCTCATGAGCCTGGGTTTTGTTCCCAGGCTCCACAAGGACAGGTAAAAATAGGTTTTATTTATGGTCAATCATTGGCATCAAAAAATAATCCTAGGAGTCAATCTGTTCTCTGCCCATCTTTTTCTCTACACATTCTGCCTTGTGAGGTTGATTTGAGCTGATTTCCAGAGAGAGCAAGCAATTTGCATACTTTTCTGCAAGTGTTGTCTCAATTTGTCCATTTTCAAATCTGGCCCAACAAATTTAATCATTGACACACTATTTCTTTTCTTGCACAATACAACAACCTCATACTAGGATGCAAGTCCCAGTCACAGCCTGGCTGATTAATTTGTGAATTCATTTCTCTCTTCTGAATTTTCAACTTTTCAATCTTTTGCTTATATTCATGCAAATCTTTTTCTGATTTCAACTTAAACCTTAATCTTGTGAGTTGTCTAGCTTATTTTCCTCACATCAAGCAACACGGTATTGCCACCTGACTGAAACAGTTATTGGACTACTGTATGTACTTGAGTACCACGCGCCCTTGAGTAAGGCGCGCAGAGGGGGTTTTCAGTTTGAAATTTTGCTAAAATCTTATCCCCAAGTAAGACACACAACCCAAATTTTTAGGGAATCTAAAACCACAAAATTTTGCAAATAAAAACAAAAAAAAATCGACTTCAGACATGAATTGAACAAAAATCTGATCAATTTTCAACTTTTTCACAAGAACGTAACAAGAATTTTTTCTTGTCACATTTGTTCCAAATTTCTCCATTATAATCAAGTATAATGCACACATAACTTCCTAAAACTTCTTAAAGATTTTGTGCCCACTTATGATGCACACCCTTTTTATCTTCTGAAATTTGGGAAAAAAGGTGCACCTGGTACTCCAGTAAATACTGTATTTTCTTTTCCAACTTATTGCTGATTCAAGAGTATTCAAGACCCACCACCAGCATGGCACACGTTTAACCCAGGGTTAGGAGGACCCACACACATACAGAACCTCTCTTGCATTCCTTTCATCCATCCCCACCACCAGAGCAGAGCCCACCCAGGACGTCGTCGGCGTTTTCTTTCTATTCTTCCTTTCCTTCTATCCCTCTTTAATCTCGCCACAGACAGAGAAACACATCGTCGACGTCGTCAAGTGTCGACACAAACGCGCTCCAATCACAACCTCTCCCTCCCTCTACCCAAATATAAACCCCCTTGTTATTGTCGTCGTCGGTACTCCGAAAAAGGGGGAGGGGGTGAGTGTGTTGTGTTGGGGACACACACACACTCGCAGGGCGGTGCCATTGACAGAGACACGCATGGGACACACGGGGGCGTGGTCAGGAATCTGAGGGGGTGTCTCGTCGACTTTGTCTCCGCCCCCTTTGCCACCCCTCATTGCTCTCTCTCTCTCTCTCTCTCACTAAGGGCTTCCCGCGTTTGCCTCTCAGCCTAGCTTTTGCAATAAACCCGCGGCGGATGCAGGCGCACTCGGGTCAAGCGCGGCGACCGTGAAACGTCTCCTACGGGGAACCCGTGCGTTTTCCTTTCCCGAACAAGTGTAGATTTTATTTCGAATGGAAATCAATTCGCAGTATTTATTTAAATGTATACATATATACACAAGATTGATAAACAAGCTTTTTTTCAATTCGTGAAGGAAGTGAGTTCGCGCCCGCTGTCGTGACTGAGTCCTCAGAGTCTCCGGAGACTTCTGAATTCCGCGAAGGGTTTTCTTTTAGGGGAAACGAAAAAAAAAAAGAATATAGAGGCATTAATGTGTCGGTGTAATACGTCATAATATATGAAACACTTCAATCAATGTATGCTTTCAACATGTTCGAATGTCGAAACAAAATACTTCCATTTAAAATTTTTTTTAAACAGTCGATCCCCTCATGGTGCAATAATGTGAGAAATGAATCCTTTAAAAAATATTACACTGCAACGACAGTTAAATTATGCGTCTTTTGCACAATAGCCGTGTTTTTTAAATATCTTTCTTATTGCATAAGCAGAACAATTGAATTCATTTGACTTGAATCGTGAGAGAAAATGCAACGGCTAAGTTTTATTGAAATTGTAAAACCAAATGCCAGCATTTAAATCTCCAAACCAGAGTTAATATGCCTCAACTTCAGGATAGGCCGCGAGAATCGTGAAAATTCCGGAATGGGAAAGTTTAAAAAAAAGTGCGGCCTATTCGTGTATGAATGCTGTTCAGCATATGCATACATAAAGACATCAGTTTCGGAGCAAACTTGAATGTGATTTCTAAAATTAAATTGAGCTGAATTTAACGGATGATAGTGCGAAAAAAGATTCGAGTCAATATTTATGGAATTTTTACGGTAAATTATGCGGCAGGGCCTCTTACGCCTGTAATTTGTTTTGCAATTGTAAATGTGTGTATTTTTGAAATACACGATTGAGAATACCGTACTGATTTAATACCCTTCTTAATCTTCAATAAGAACTGTCGTTTTTTTACCATATTTTTAAAACAATTATTATAGCTTCAAATAAATCCAAAAGCAGTTGAATCTATTTGCAAAACTTTAACCTCGTCCTGGAATTAGAAAAAAAAAATCTTGGTTGTATACCGAAATTTTTATCATGCGACTCAAATGACCTTGTGGCTGGGCTGGACGCACACAAAAAATACAATTGTTATAACACTTACAAGCAATAACCGCTCAAAAATTATTTTTTTGCTATAATGTTACATTCCACTGCAAAAATTGCCCATTCATGGGGCAATTGTGAAGTTCATCAATTCAGAACCTAATCTGCATTGAAGGGAATAAAAAGATTAAACTCTACATTTTGTTCTACATTTTTTCCAGGAAATTTGACCTCGGAAAAAAGTGCATTGTATTGGTCAAAAAAAAGAAAGAAAAAAAAAAGAACGAGAGGAATGTTCGGGCCGGCTTATCCAGTGACGCCGACGGCGTGCATGAGCCACCTTTACTTCCTCAACAGTCTCAGCAATTTTGTGCACAGCACATTCCACGGAAACAACAACAACAACAACAACAACCATCACCTACTCAACAACAACAACCACCACCACCTCCACCACCATGGCAGCGAAAAGGGCGGCTTCGAAGGCACCATTGGATCCGCCTCACCCTCAGTCTCCCCCCGCACCTTCTGCACGGCGTCCCCAACGGCGTCCGACGTGTCGTCCTCGCCGGCGCCCGAGGCACTTCCGTTCTCAATCGACAACATCCTCCGACCCGACTTTGGCCGCCAACAACAGCAACAACAACATCATCATCATCATCATCCCCACAGCAAAAACAACAATGCTTTGTTCCCGTTCGCGAGGTCCCCGCTGGAAAGTCTATTTCGCACTGCTCAGCTGCCATTTTTGCGGGATGAGCTGGACGATGAAGAGGAGGAGATTGACGATGTTGAGGCGGGACTCGATGAGCGAGTGAAGATCAAGAAAGAACGGGAGGATGACGGGATGATCATGAATAAACTGCAGAATAATAACAACAACAACAATAATAATAAGACTAGAGAGAAGGAGGACTTTGAAGAGAAGTTGTTGCCGAATCCGGATGACAAGAAACCGGAACTAATTCCCGCATGGGTTTTTTGCACCCGATACTCAGACCGACCATCTTCAGGTGAGATTCCAGGTTCTAAATCAAAAGGATTATTTTCTTGATATAGGTGGTACCTCACAATTTTTACCCTAATCCATTGCCAAACTATATAGTATCAAATTGCAAGACACTTCATAAAATTGAGAAATATCAGCACAAATATGCAAAAATGTGGCCAAAGCAGGTCAAATTGCAAGTCAACTTCCCTGCCAATTCCACTGTCAAATTGTGGGACAGTCAAATTGAGGAGGTCAACTTGCGAGGTACCATCTGAATAATTATTTTGTAAAACACACATATTCAAGTCCAAATTAATGTACTGTACTCACTATGGAAGGCAATTAATGGCAAAAAGCCAAGTAATAAAAAGCAACAGCATTCATAGTTCGATTCCAAGTTCCAAAAAGTTAACTAAAGGAAGATGGATTGAATTGTCAATCCAGCCTAAATAAAAAATAAAATAACACAAATACCATATTTACTTGAGTACCTTGTGCCCTTGAGTAAGGCGTGCACGCAGGGGTTTTTCAGTTGGAAATTTTGCTAAAACCTTATCCCTGAGTAAGACACTCACCCCAATTTTTAGTGAATCTAAATCCACAAAATTTTGAAAATAAAAAAAAAATTTGACTTTAGAATTGAATAAAAATTTGATTAATTTTCAACTCTTTCAGTATAAACAGGTTTTCTTGGTACATTTGTTCCAAATTTCTACATTATAATTAAGTATAATGCACACATAACTTCCTAAAACTTCTTGAAAATTTTGTACCCGCGTATGATGCGCACCCATTTTTTTCTTCTGAAATTTGAGAAAAAAAATTTGTACAGGGTAATTGAAGTAAATACAGTACAAGGTAATATTCGAAATCTTCCTGCCTATAGCATGATGGATAAATGAGTTGACATGAAGCAACACTTTAAAAAGTGACAAATTTGCAAATTACTTGCTCAGCTTCTTTCGATTAGTTTCAAGTTGTGGTTTTCCACTTCCTCAGTCCCATAAATGATACCCACAGGGTTCCTGAAATTTGTTTTACAGAGGCTGGAAGGAGGAAAACTTTTCAGTTGAGATCTAGATTGCACAGTTCTTGGAGGAAATTAAGGTACAGTAATTGAGACATGGACTAAAAATAAATTGGCAAAGCAAGGTAATCCAAATTATCTGGGAGGTTTGAGTTACCAACATCCAGCTGATGCATTTAACAAGACATGCGATATGCAAAAAGGGGGTCTTGGAAAATAAATCTTTCTGCCAAAAATGGCTCCACAGGACAAGAAATAAAATAAATTTTTCAAGTAATAACTCCACAATGGAGACTAAACTGTATAGTATCAAGTCACACACTCTTGAAGACAAACCAAGGCAAAAAAGAAAGGGTTCGGAAACGGCCTCATATATAGAATGAATGAATGATGATTTACATTTTCCGCGCAAAGTAAGACCACCATCTTTTTTTTTTCGAAACCCGGGCATCAGAAATCGCCAAGCCACCACAACTTGATTACTGATGATAGATTTCGGGCCCTGGCCTGATGGATGGAACCCGTGGCCCGGAATCTTGCCATCGAGGGGGGCTTCAAAAGGCCTCACTCCAGGTTTTTCGGGACACGGAAAACCCAACCCATGCGTACCTGTGCACGATAACCCATCTTTTCCCAGGTGGGTGGGGGGGGGGGGGGCTTTTTCAGGCCCGACTCGGGCGCAATTCCATCAAAAATTCGCCGCGGAATTGCGCTCCCAGAAAACGCAGTAAAAATACATATATGCATATAGGAAAAAAAAAGAAACCTCAGCTTTGGTTAAGTGTAATCATGGGCACCCGATCGACGCAATGGGGGGAAAAGGGGAGAAAAAAGGAGGGGTTACGAGGGTTTTATTTTCAAGCACACACCCCCCATGAAGGGGTCTCGAGGTGGGGCCTTTTTCCTTCACTGAACGAAACCTCTTTTTCCCATCGTTATTGCATGTTTTTTTTTAGATTAGCCGAGTTTCTGGACACACTTTGGTAGCTGATCACGTTTCCATTAAAAAAAGAATTATATGATAAAACGCCATCGAATAAAAAGAAAATAAACTCGAATGAACATGAAAAAATTCAAAAACCTTGAGGCAGTTGTTCTGGAACATTGGATAAAACCTGAACCAAGATATCAAAAACTTGCTCCCTTTATTCAAAAATCTTATAAATATTCCACCTCTCGAGGCTTTTGAATCTCAAAATATTAATTTCCTTTTTGAGTCAAAAACGAAGCAATATTTTACGTTGAGCCATTTTGAAACTCGAATTCGCGAGGGAAAACTTCGTCGTCGTCGCGATTGACGGAAACCCCTGCCTTAATCGGGAATTGTGAAAGAAACTTTGCAAATTGAAAAGATTTTTATTATATTCTGATTCTGCCTCATATCCGTTGGAATTGATGCATGGTTGATATAACCTCAATAGGGAGAACCCTGGAAAAATCGCATCCTGCGAAATGCCCAACGCGTTCTTTCTTGCAATTCTTCAAAAAACCGAAAAGTAATTAAGCAATGAAGCTATTTTTTGGCACTGATAATACGGATTGGAAAAAATAATTATGTTTTCACCAGACAAATGTCTGGAGGGGATCGTTATTTTAAAAATTCGTCGATCTTTTTTTCACATAATTTTCCCTGCGCCGTGAAAAAAAAAAAAAAACGAGTACCTGCTCACCTTTATTCTCCTTGTCCGAGAATATTCTTTAAAAAACATTGGACGAAACTTTTTGATTGCTCGCAGAATATAAATGCAGAAAATAATCAAGTCGCAATTTTTCGTGCTGGAATATGTTTTGAATTTCTTTCTTGTTTTTTTCTTTTTGTGGTGTAAATAGGTCCGAGATCACGCAGAGTGCGACGAAGCAGCAAGAGCAAGAAAGATGACAAGCGACCTCGAACGGCTTTCAGCTCAGAGCAATTAAGCCGCCTTAAAACGGAGTTTGAGCAGAACCGCTACTTAACAGAGAAACGCCGCCAGGACCTGGCCCAGGAACTGCAGCTCAATGAGGCTCAAATCAAGATCTGGTTCCAGGTAAGAATTAACCCCTTTCTCTGGCATATGTTTATCAGCATTGCAGGATGTACAATATAATCTTGTTATACAACAATCCCACAAGGATCCCCAAATAACTTGGGGGGTATAATGAAAATGTGGGTGTCATTTAAAACTTGAGTATACCAGTGGTGCCCTGCAATTTGACCCTAATCCATTGCTGGACTAGGTTTGAATCACAAGACACTCTGTAAAATCAAAGGACAAACAGCCTAAAATCACTAGAAAAAAGGCTAAAACAGGTCAGGTTACTGGAAAGAGGCAAAATTGCAAGTTGACCTCCAAGCGCATTCAACCATTGAATTATTGCAGGATGGTTGAATTGCTAGAGGTCAAATTTTGCATGATGTACAATATAATCTTGTTACAACAATCCCACAAGGATCCCCAAATAACTTGGGGGGTATAATGAAAATGTGGGTGTCATTTAAAACTTCTGAGTATACCAGTGGTGCTCTGCAATTTGACCCTAATCCATTGCTGGACTAGGTTTGAATCACAAGACACTCTGTAAAATCTTGGACAAATAGCACAAAATCACTAGAAAAGAGGCTAAAACAGGTCAAGTTACTGGAAAGAGCGTAAAATTGCAAGTTGACCTCCAAGCGCATTCAACCATTGAATTATTGCAGGATGGTTGAATTGCTAGAGGTCAAATTTTGCATGATGTACAATATAATCTTGTTACAACAATCCCATGAGGATCCCCAAATAACTTGGGGGGTTTTATGAAAATGTGGGTGTCATTTAAAACTTGAGTATACAAGTGGTGCCCTGAAATTTGACCCTAATCCATTGCTGGACTAGGCTTGAATCACAAGACACTCTGTAAAATCAAGGACAAACAGCCTAAGTTCATTTGAAAAAAGGCTAAAACAGGTCAAGTTACTGGAAAGAGGGTAAAATTGCAAGTTGACCTCTGAGCGCATTCAACCATTGAATTGCAGGATGGTTGAATTGGAAGAGGTCAAATTGCAAGGTACCACCTGTACAGTATATCATCCAATAAAAGTTCCTCCAAATGTATTCTAATTTCAAGAATTAAACCTGGATCTATCCATTTTGGATTATTCATCCTTTCATGTACTGTCAAACTGTGTTAAGCCAGTCCCCCAATAAACTCCCATATCCTTGCTTCCAACCAACATTTTGTCCCAAAGAAATTGGTAAAATGTTGAAGGGATGGCAAAATCCTTGACAGACCATCAACCATCATCTGCCAAAGTTTGTTTCCCCCCCCCCCCCCAAACAGGTATCTGTCCTTTGTTTTTTCCCTCCATATACCACCAATACCTCAGAGGAAACACTAAGGTTTTGTTCCACAGACTACCAATTTGTCCAGTTATATTGGGAAGTTTCATAAGAAAACACTGAGATTAACTTATGAAACTTCCCATTTTGCTAAATTTTTTTAAAACCTTCCCTTGTTCTTGTTTTTTTTTCTCCCAATTTTGGAGAAAGGTGCATGCCCACCCCCACTAAACTGCCAACCCCATCAAACTGCCAAAATAAGGCTGCAGAGATGTTGGTAGTACAATATAATCTTGTTGCAACAATGCCACAAGGACTTGAAGAAAACATAGGCCACATAGGGCATATAAGAATGCTGTGTTATTTAAAACTCAAATACTGTCTATGATCCAATGGAAGCACTCCAGAATTTATTGAAATATGTATAAAAACTATACATGAATTAGCTGTACAACACAATCTTGTCTAGGAGAATTTTCTCTGTTCAACAAATTTTTGTGTGTGGTTCCATAGGGTTCTCTAGCCATATTTTAGGAGTTCTTTGCAACAAAATTCTCTTTGTAAATATTTTTTCTGGTCCCTTGCATTTTGTAAGGAAGGAGAGTCCTGTATTTTTCTCCCTGCATTAAGTATAGAGGATGGTCATATTTTGAGCAGGTACAGTTCATTTAAAAATGTTGATAGATCTTTTCCATAGAAATGCTGTAATACTTTCAAAGTGGCATTTAATTACAAAAAGGTGTTGGGACCTGGAGAAAAAGCTTGTTTTTCAAATAAATTTGCTATAAATATATCTAAATAATGTTGTGGCTTTCGGACAGGGACAGGGAAAAAGAATTCATTGTAACTAGAATTTGTTCCAAGATGATAATGTGATGTAACAAGGTGTTGTACTAAATACACGTATTCTTTACTGACTTTTTCTGACATTCAAATTTTTTGACTCATTTTTGATAAAATTGCACCTGAGTTGAGCTTGAAAACCCTCCACCCTACGAATTTATTCCATGAAATGAGGAGAAGGGTTTCCTCTTGATCGAAATTCCAGTTTAAAATAAACATATGCAAGTTTTTAGACCTTTTTCAAAGAAAAAAGGAATTTAGTTTCAAATCAGAAATGATGAGATGTGTTTTTTCTTCTTTGTCTTTTTTTTCATAGAATAAGAGAGCAAAGTTGAAGAAGAGCACTGGTCAAAAGGGATCTCTGGCATTACAGCTCATGGCCCAGGGCTTGTACAACCACTCCACGATCCCAATCGACGATGACGAAGACGAAGAGGCCATCTTGGCCAAATATGCCAACCACGCTGCTCAGCAACAGCAGCTGCAATAGAGCAGGGTCACAGAGCGCAGCAGGTTTCTCGCGCTCTTTTTCATTTCAACAACAACAACAACAAAAAACGGCCCTGTACCAATTGTGACTTCAGCTTCCAGGGGTTCAGCTCAATTGTTGTCTCAAAAAACGTACTTTCCAGGACTGAATCAAGTTTCAGTTTTTTGTACGATAATCCAACAAATGAGAACGATTTTTTCTGGTTCGGGCCGAACCCAGTTCAGCAAACTTGATTGAGCCTATGTACACCCCGAAAGCTGAAGTCAGTCTCTCTCTCTCTCTTTTTTTTTTATTGTCGAACTAGTCAAAATGTTTTGAATGCGCCTCGCCAATTGAGCAAAAAAGAAAAAACGAAATCTTGCTGACTTGAGCTACGCAAAATTTATGCTGAAAAAGAATATTTGCGGTTACTGATCTCTCGGGAAGAAAACATGCTTAACTCATAGTTTTTCCTCGGTTCTTTCATTCGCGGATTTTTTGTTTTGTTTTTTGGTAATTCGGAGAAAATCAGAATTACGCAAAAGCTTGATTTCGTTTTTAACGCGTGGATCCGCGAATAAGTGGTAATATCCGAAGGCGAATTTTTTGGTTTGTTTTTCGATTGTGATTTATTGGGATGCAATGTTTGGAAGATGAGAAAATTCGGGATGATGAAAATGCTAGGAATGATCAAGGGATTGCGACAATGATGATGATACGATGTGAAATCCTTTTTTTGCGTTTCGTTTTCGCAAGAAAAAAAATACATGGAATTCATGGTTCAAACATTCAAACTGAGTCATTTGCTTTTTTCTGGCCGTTTCTCCAAATTTATTCGTAATCGCATGGATTCAATTTACGAATTCAACTATGAAAGATATGCAAAAGTTTGTCTTCTTCATCAGAATTGGATTAAGTTTCAAGAATCATAGCGCAAAATATTTTTCATTTTGATAAATGTCGAGGGATTTCCTTCTGATCTTAAATTATAAAAGTATGGCAACCTCCGACATGGTTACTCCTTCCTAGAAACAAAAAACATGCAATATTGTGCATAAACAACCAAGAAAACTCATCGAAAACCGAGAAGAATCGTGTAATTGACGGAAATTTGAGATCTTGCTTCGAAGATTGATTGCAGTTTTAGATTGAAAATAAACTGATGGATCACTCAATCAGTTTTAAAAGTCCACAAAAAACCTCTTCACTAAAATGATCAGTATCAGTATACCACCTGCTATTATTTCTTAGAGAAAATGTGTACGGATTACATACATAAAACATCATCATTCTAAGAGTGTTTTCGGGAGGTTGAATATTCAAGAATACACAGAAATAATAACAACATTTCAGAGGTCAAAATCATATGTACCTGTATGATTTAGTAATTTAGTTGATTCTAAAGAAAAATGAAGACCTACGATTAAAACTTTCTGTTTCAAAGGATTGAATTTCAGCTTGGGTACCTCTCAATGAATTGAAATTCAAAAACTGTTACGCGTGGATCCGCGAATAAGTGGTAATATCCGAAGGCGAATTTTTTGGTTTGTTTTTCGATTGTGATTTATTGGGATGCAATGTTTGGAAGATGAGAAAATTCGGGATGATGAAAATGCTAGGAATTATCAAGGGATTTCGATGATGATGATGATGATACGATGTGAAATCCTTTTTTTGCGTTTCGTTTTCGCAAGAAAAAAAAATACATGGAATTCATGGTTCAAACATTCAAACTGAGTCATTTGCTTTTTTCTGGCCGTTTCTCCAAATTTATTCGTAATCACAGGGATTCAATTTACGAATTCAACTATGAAAGATATGCAAAAGTTTGTCTTCTTCACCAGAATTGGATTAAGTTTCAAGAATCATAGCGCAAAATATTTTTCATTTTGATAAATGTCGAGGGATTTCCTTCTATTCTTAAATTATAAAAGTATGGCAACCTCGCACATGGTTACTCCTTCCTAGAAACAAAAAACATGCAATATTGTGCATAAACAACCAAGAAAACTCATCGAAAACCGAGAAGAATCGTGTAATTGACGGAAATTTGAGATCTTGCTTTGAAGATTGATTGCAGTTTTAGATTGAAAATAAACTGATGGATCACTCAATCAGTTTTAAAAGTCCACAAAAAACCTCTTCACTAAAATGATCAGTATCAGTATACCACCTGGTATTATTTCTTAGAGAAAATGTGTACGGATTACATCCATAAAACATCATCATTCTAAGAGTGTTTTCGGGAGGTTGAATATTCAAGAATACACAGAAATAATAACAACATTTCAGAGGTCAAAATCAAGTATTCAGAGGTCAAAGTACCTGTATGATTTAGTAATTTAGTTGATTCTAAAGAAAAATGAAGACCTACGATTAAAACTTTCTGTTTCAAAGGATTGAATTTCAGCTTGGGTACCTCTCAATGAATTGAAATTCAAAAACTGTTGCTTTTTTTCCTGAATCAAGAGAGCAGGCAAACTTCAAATTCTTACTTACAACGGTGGACTCTACAACAAAATTCAAAGGGATACAGGTCACCATCCCACAATTCAACAATCAAATTTGCTGGGATGTTGACTTGCAATTTGACCTCTTGCCCCACAATTTGACCTGCAGAGAGACTCAAAATGTCAAATTTCATGTAGAAAGCCTCAAATTTGACATTGTCTTGCAATTTGACGGCTTCACAATTTGATTCTTACCAAGCAATGAATTAGGGTTGAATTGTGGGGGACCACCTGTACCAGCAGAAACATTCTTCGCAGAGAGAATTTTATTATAACAACCCTTTTATCATGGGAAAGAACCTCATGGGACAAAACAAAAAATTGGTTACACAGGTGGTACCTTGCAATTAAACTTCCCACAATTCAGCCATCCTGCAATTTGATGGTTGAATTTGCAGTGAGATTAACTTGCAATCTAACCCTTTCCTGGCAACTTGACCAGCGTTGGCCACTTTTTTTTTGCATTTTTGTACTGATATTTTTGAATTTCATGAAGTGTCTTGCAATTTTATCCTAGTTTGGCAATGGATTAGGGTCAAATTGTGAGGTACCACCTGTAAAGAGAAAATTGTTGTACCGCATATATCAAATTATTTTAGAGAGTCCACCTTCCATGATGATGATGTGGATTCTCCTTTCATATATGTCGAGAATTCACTCACATATTTTGCAAAAATTTGAATAAAATAAGATTTAAAAAAATAGCAGTTGGAGACCATGTAACCCCTCTTTCCACTGGTCAAAACCAGGCAAGCAACTTTATAACCCACCCAACCCCAATAGATAATGTGCGTATATCTCAGCCCCTCTCCGCGGAATGAGTAAGTGATAAAAGCCACCCAAGTAAAGTCATAATTGATCGCGCGAGCCTCCAAAAAAAAAAAAAAAACAACCAAAGAACAACAAATATCCACCAACAACAACCACAGGAACAACTTCAAAATAAAAAAAAGAAAGAAAGAAGAAGCGGAACCTCATTAGCGGCTTGATTACGAGCCAGATGCGAGCCACGTTGCTGTCGGAATCGTCAAGGAAAAGTCTAAAAATACGTGTCCGATGCATAAATAAAAAAAAATATAACAACAACCAGAAGAAAAAGAAGAAGAAGAAGAAGCACGTCGGCAGATAACAACCGCGGCGGCTTCGTGGGTGGCGGCTCGGCTTAATTGGTTCATAAAAGGCCCCGGCGTAAATATTGATACAAGCGCGCGGTGATGCGGATCACAACTATACAACTTATACCTTTATTTTTTTTTTCACAACACAATAACGAGAGATATCAACACATGCACCACCATGCTTCATTCCCCAACTTCTTCTTCTTCTTCTTCTTCCCCTTCTTCATCTGCTGTGCGTCATCTTTTTTATTCTTTCTTTTCTTCCTCATTCACACGGCCGCAGTCAGACAAGTGCTCTAATTTTCACCTATAACGCAGTTCACTTACCGCCTAAGGGGAGAAAGTTGGGACGTGGAGGTCGTAAAAAAGGGCCTCAAATCATGGCTGAATACAATTATTCAAGCACAAAAAAAGAAAGCCTGATTAAGATGATGCTAAAATTTGTAAATCAGACGGATAAACAAATGTTGGGGAAAATGAAACATGCATTTATTGATTTATTTTGATGATACTTCACAGGGAATGTTGCTAATTAATTAACATGTTTTCATTAACTTGCTTTCTTGTCCGTTTGTTTGTCCAGATCAAATTTTGCAACTCAAATTTTGCTCACTTCCCAACTAGCTATTAAAAAATTAATCTAAAAAACCACATTTTCAAAAAGCAAACAATAACCTGAAACATGGTGTGCATGGAGATTGTTGGGAAGAAGTGAAATACAAATGAAATAGATGCACACCACATTTAAGGTTATTTTTTCCTTTTTCAAAACATGGTTTTTTAGATTAATTTTTTAATCTACTAACTTTTTTTTCACCTGAGCCAGTGTCGCTTTATTGTGAGTGGAGGTCGAATCATCGCTAAATGAAATTAATCAAGTATTTCTCAGCGAAAAGCTTGATCGAGACGCAGCTAAAATTTGTAAATCGCACGGAAAACCATGTTGGCACAATGACACATGCCTTTATTACATTTGGTCGATAATTATAATGCGGATATCACCAATTATCACCAGCACAGCAAGTACCATTTATACAATTATTCAAGGGTTACTCAGCAGGAAAAAAGCCTGATCGAAATGCTCCTAAAATTTGTAAATCGCACGGAAGAGCATATTGGCACAATGACACTTGCCTTTATTAATTTCGTTTGATAATTATTATGCGGATATCTCTAATTATCACCTAAGCAATTAACTGGTTGGTGAGAGGTGATGAAAAAGACTCGAATCAACGCTGAATAAAATTAATCAAGTGTTTCTCAGCAAAAAGCCTGATCAAAATGCTGCTAAAATTTGTAGATCGCAGGGAGGAACATGTTAGCAAAATCAAACAAGCATTTATTGACTTTTGTTTGATTATTTTACAGGGAATATCACCAATTATCACCACTG